GCAGCTTTTATCCGGAGCAACGTTTCTTGGAGCCATCTTTTGCTTCACTGCATTTACCTTAAAGAGTTTATATGGTTTCATCGCTCTCTTTGCCTTAGGAGAGCTTCTTGTGTTTGCTACACAGGTAAAAAAAAACTTTGAGCCTGTGTTGTTGTAATATTCTTATATTTCTCAATCGTCTTCTTCTTCATCTTCAGGCTCCTGTGAATTATGTGTGTTTGCATTGTGTGGAACCAAGTTTGAGACCATTATCAATGGCGATCTCTACCGTTGCGATTCACATATTTGGCGATGTTCCTTCTTCTCCTCTTGTCGGTATCGTTCAGGTAAAAAAAATCTCTTCTTGTCATCGCCAATACTTGAAAGAACAAAACAGAAACCAAAATGCTCCATTGTTGTTGTATATGCAGGATCATATAAACAGTTGGAGAAAAACAGCATTGATTCTTACATCGGTTCTGTTCTTAGCTGCTGCAATATGGTTTATAGGTAAAAGCAAATCTGAATTCTTGAACCTGAATAAAATTTTCTTGTCCAAATCAAGAAGCTGTTTTTGTTGCGAGTTTTGTTTTGGCAGGGATATTTATAAACAGTGTAGATCGGTTTAATGAAGAAGAAAGTGAAGGTGAGAAGCAGAGGAGGCAAGAACAATCGATTGTAACTCCATAAATGAATAAATACTATATAGCAAAAATAGAGTTAGTTTCTCTGTATGTTTATGTTTATTATGTTTGTTGCATATAATGGTTAAAAGTTAAAACTATAGAGTGAATGGTGATTGGATGCTCATAGATCATATCATACATGGTGGATCATCGTCAATAGAACTGGAAATTACTAATATTAATTTGGATAGGAAACCTACACACAAAAGCTTCAAATTTGCATGGAAAACTTGAATTACACGTTTCAGGCTGTAGAATTCTCTTTTTGTTTATAGAGAAAATGATCACTGCTTCTTCTCAGTTCTTTACCTTCTTTCCTATAGATTCTTCTCGATATCGTTTTCTTCTGAATCTATGTTCTTGTTCTTGTCGTCTTCTTTCACTTGATTATTCTCTAAAGAAAAATCTTCTGTTTTCTCATGAATTCTCATGTACCGCCTTCCTAAAACACATGATAAAACTATTACAATTGATATACCTACCTGGATGAAATACCATTGATCTAAAATAGAGTTTTTCATTGTTTTTTTATTTGTTTATTTTATATTATAACAAATAAATGCAGAGCAAAATTGTTCGTCGATGAGGATCAAAATTTCTTAAGAGTTGTTTGTATTATATATTGGCGTGAAAGAGTGGGAAAACTTGGAACATTACCATTTTGTATACATCTTGCTAGGAAAACAAACTAATAAGTACTCTCTTGAAGCAATATTGTCTGGTCAGTTTTGTTTCACGGGGGAAAGACGAAAGTCGATGACTTGAAAAGTAAGCCAACTCTGCTCTGAACTCCAACAATTTCTTTTTCAACCTTATCTTCTTCCTGAGAGTTCTCTTTACATCGACCACATGATTATCATTACCCATAACAAATCGTCTCTTCTTGACTTGTACTCTTTTTGTAATGTATATCTAATTTCTTTTTTCATTAATTTGGTTGTGTATATCTTTTAATTTGGTTGGACAAAAATGTTTGGAACACAAATACATTCACTCTCTTTGCTCAACGTGAATAACACTTCGTACAAAGACTTGATGGTGAGTCAATCTGAGTGAATCTGGAGCACTCTCTATATGCAATCTATATAAAGTGACGGGGCATGAAACCATGTTTTATTATCACCATTTCCATCTTTCGCTTCTTCATTATTGGTATTCAAGAGAAATTAAATTAGCTTGAAGAAGAAGAACGAAAGGCTGTTGGAACTCAATGAGGACCATTCATATTACTTTTTCTTTTCTCTTCTCTTTTATACTTTATTTTCAAAACGTCTTTGCGGTTCCTACTATACATTTGTGTCGTCCTGAACAAAGGGATGCACTTCTCGAGTTCAAGAACGAGTTTGAGATCATAAAGCCTTGTAATTATGGGTGTTATGTTAATGGTAGCGATGTAAGGCCTCATCCAAAGACGGAGTCATGGAAAAATAGCAGCGATTGTTGTTATTGGGACGGTATCAGGTGCGATGCCAGTTCTGGGGAAGTGATAGAGCTAGACCTCAGTTGCAGCTGCCTCCATGGCAGGATTCATTCGAATACCTTTCAAAACTTTCCTTTTCTATCTTCTCTAGACCTTTCATGGAATTATTTTTATGGTCAGATCCCATCCTCTATTGGAAAACTTTCTCATCTCACCTCTCTCGACCTTTCCTATAATCAACAATTGTCGGGTCAGATTCCATCTTCAATTGGAAATCTTTCAAATCTCACCTCTCTCAACCTTTCTTGTAATCATCTTTTTGGCCAGATTCCATCTTCAATTGGAACTCTTTCGAATCTCACCTCTCTCCGCCTTTCTGTTAATCGGTTTTCTGGTCAGATTCCATCCTCAATTACAAAGCTCTCTCGTCTCGAATATCTTTACCTGGGTTATAATAATTTTGATGGTGAAATCCCATCTTCTTTGGGCAGTTTGAAACAGTTGACCCACTTAGATTTAGGATCCATTAAGCTTAGTGGTAACTTTCCTGTTGCATTACTTAATTTGACAAAGTTGTCGTATTTATCACTGGGCTCCAATCAACTCACAGGAACGCTTCCTCCAAACATTAGTTCACTCTCCAACTTGGAGGCTTTTGACGCAAGTGACAACAATTTCGTTGGAACCATTCCTTCTTCTCTCTTCAACATTTCTTCTTTAAAAGATATTTCTTTGTCAGATAACCAACTCAACGGCACTCTTGAGTTTGAGAATATATCTTCACCATCTAAGCTTCAAGCATTATTCCTTGGCGGTAACAACTTCAGAGGACCAATCCCCAGATCTATTTCCAAATTAGTAAATCTTGAGATGCTTGAGCTTTCCCATTGGAACACCCAAGGCCCAGTTGACCTCAGTATCTTCTCGCATCTTAAGTCGCTCCAATATCTTCGCCTCTCCCATTTGAACACCACAACAACGATTGACTTGCATGCAATCTTATCATGTTCCAAGTCGCTTGAAGAATTGGATCTCTCGGGAAACCATGTTTTAGCCACAAACAACAAAAGTTCAATTTCAGATTCTCCTTCACAGATGATAATTTATTTAAACTTGTCAGGCTGCGGTATTACCGAATTTCCAGAACTTCTGAGAACCCAGCAGCGTATGACGACTCTAGACATTTCCACCAACGAAATCAAAGGTCAAGTTCCTGGCTGGTTATGGACGCTACCAAATCTGGGTTACGTGAATCTTTCCAACAACACTTTCATCAACTTCGAAAGATCAATGAAACATGGACTATCCTCTGCCCTGGAGTACTTGTTTGGCTCTAAAAATAACTTCACAGGAGAGATTCCATCTCTCATATGCGAGTTGCACTCTCTAAGGACTCTAGATTTATCAAGCAACAACTTCAATGGTTCAATCCCTCTTTGTATGGGAAATCTCAAGAGCAATCTCTCAGTTCTGAACCTACGTCAGAACCGTCTTAGTGGAGGCCTTCCGAAAAATATATTTAAAGGTCTAAGAACGCTTGACCTTGGAAATAACCAATTGGTGGGAAAGCTTCCAAGATCTTTGATCCATTTCTCCACTCTTGAAGTTCTGAATGTGGAAAGCAACAGAATCAACGACACGTTTCCCTTCTGGTTGAGTTCTCTACAGAACCTGCAAGTTCTTGTCTTACGCTCCAATGCATTCCATGGACCAATACATCAAGCCTCATTCTTTCAGCTGAAAATCATGGACATCTCACATAATCACTTCAGCCGAACTCTGCCATCTGATTACTTCATCAACTGGAGTTCAATGTCATCACTTGGGATTCATGAAGATCAGTCAAACGTAGGTTACATGGAAGACAAATCAGGCTATTACCATGACTCAATAGTTTTGGTGAAAAAAGGAACAGAGATGGAGCTGGTACGTATCCTAAAAGTCTTCACAGCACTCGACTTCTCTGGAAACAAACTTGAAGGCGAGATTCCAAAGTCCATCGGTTTACTGAAAGAGCTTCACGTGCTCAACTTGTCAAACAATGCTTTCAATGGCCACATGCCATCGTCCATGGGGAACCTTACAGCTCTGGAGTCACTAGACGTTTCCCAAAACAAGCTTTCTGGAGAAATTCCACAAGAGCTAGGGAATCTCTCGTTCCTTTCTTACATGAACTTCTCCCATAACCAACTTGTAGGTCTATTACCAGGAGGCACTCAGTTTCGAACGCAGCCTTGCTCTTCTTTTGACGACAACTTGGGACTTTTCGGCCCTGCTCTTGAAGATGATTGCGGAGATATCCACAAGCCTTCGTTGCAGCAGTCTGAAACGCCAGAACCAAAAGAAGAAGAAGATGAAGAGGTGTTCAGTTGGATTGCAGCTGCAATAGGATTTGTACCTGGGATTGCGTTTGGGTTGACGATTGGATACATATTGGTTTCATACAAACTAGAGTGGTTCACGAGTCCTTTTGGTCGAAACAAACGCAAAAGAAGAAGAAACACCACAGCTAATTAGAGAGGTAATGTTCTGAATTTGTAAGAATATATTATAATAGGATTTTCTGGATGAATGAATAAGTGAAACTAACGTATATTTTGTTTTGTGTAGCCTTTGTAAACCCAACTTGAAGAATCTTTGAGAAAGAGAAAGAAGCTTGGGGGACAAGGCAACCCATTTATCAGTGTCTTGGTTTCAGTTATTGTTTCCGGTTACTCTGTTTTTGTTGTGTTCTTTCCTCTGTTTTCCTCTTTTACTTTGTCTTTAGCCAATGTTTGTATTTCTATGTATTTATAGCACAAATGTATTCCTGTTTATTTGATGGACGTGATTATCCATAGTTAAGGTCCAATCATAAGAGATATATTTACCATAACAGATTTCGTCTATCTTTCTTCTTCTTCAGGCTCTTCTTGTCATTGCCAATACTTGAAAGAACAAAACAGAAACCAAAATGCTCCATTGCTGTTGTGTATGCAGGATCATATCAACAGTTGGAGAAAAACAACATTGATTCTTACATTGGTTATGTTCTTAGCTGCTACTATATGGTACATTATTTTATATAGATTCTACGGTATAACATAAACTGTTGATGAATAACATAAAACAAGAAGAATCTGAGTTTAAAACAGGGGAGAAGAAGTTTGAGGGTAATCGATTAATAGAGCCTACCGGTACACTCAGAAGAACCACAGTAGCAAATCTTCTTCTTGATCGATCATGTAATTGTAGTTCTTGAAGCGGAGGTATATTGTCCATGGCAAAGAGCATCACGTGAGGGATCCTCTTGTCTTCATGATCATACAACACGTTCTGCGCATACAGATTCGGCGAGCAGCTATGGTTTATAAACCTCCCGATGTTCCCTTTCTTCGCAGCATCGACAGTGAACCCGAAGGTATCGAGCTGAGAGATCTCACTCCCCAACCTCTCGACTCGGTTTTGAAGATCTCGAGCTTGAACCTGATCCCTCGCTGCGTGACTCTTAGGTAGCAAGCAGGAGGGCATTTGCAGAGAGAGCCACACTCGTAGATCAAGCTCTTTGGGTAAACTGCGTTCCCATCGTAGTTGTAAGGTATCTCTCCTCCGTTTTTCGCCACGCAGGCGCAGTTTCTACTCTCCGTACATCGCTTCGTGCAGCCGCATCCACTTTGGAGGGATCCGCGTGAGCCACTTAGCCGTGTAGATGAACGGTGGAGGCTTCGATCATCGCGCAAATGGGCAATCTCTCTATACATTAATCGTTCAAACATAAACGCGGAGGAATCGATCGATTATATAATCAAATTCGCAATCAAGCAAGAAACAGATTTAGAGAGAGAGAGAGAGCATAGATTGCAAACAATACCACACAGAAGAGTAAAACAAAAAACGCTCCTAGGCCCATTTATCGAGACAACCCTAAAAAATTTCCTCCTTTGGCTCTCTTGGCGGCTCCGCCGCCGGTTTCTTTTACCGGAGTGGTGGACAGAGAAGAACCAAAGCTCTGTTTCGGGTGATCGAGGTGGCAGAGGAGGATCAAATTCAAGAGGCCGAGGCTCATCCAGCAGCAATTGTGGAAGGGGAGGCTCCTCTCAGCAGCCACAGCAGCAGTATCGTTCTAATGCCGCTCAGGCGTCGTCACCTTCTCAGCCTGGAGCGTTTCCAAACTTCACACCCGAGCAGTGGGCCTCGTTAACTCAGTTGCTGGAACAACAGAAACCAGCTCCTGTACCAGATCGATTGAATGGTAAGGTCCAGACAGGTGAAGTCATACTTGATACAGGAGCATCTCACCATATGACCGAAAATGTTGTTGTTCTTAGCTCGTTAAAGAACATCCCACCGCGGCCTGTATCGTTTGCAGATGGGAGTATTGTCTACGCAACAAAATGTGGTTGCTTGTTGTTGTCAAAGACCTTAGTCTTTGAGAATGTTCTCTTCGTCCCAAACTTGAATTGCACACTGCTCTCTGTTACAAATTTGCTAAAACAAACAGGTTGCTTTGCCATGTTCACTGATACACTGTGTGTGTTGCAGGACCGTTTTACGAGGACCCTAATTGGAGCAGGTGAAGAATGAAATGGAGTATATGTTTATCGGGATGTGACTGTCTTCCGAAGTCATAGGGTCAAAGCAGCTGAAGATCAAACGCTGTGGCATAGGCGATTAGGGCATCCTGCATTTGGTGTTTTGGAGTTTTTGCCTTTTATTTCTGGTGTTAAACACATCCCCGACAAGTTTGGCGGTTGTGAAGTGTGTTTTAAGTCTAAGCAAACTCGAGAGATCTTCCATGAAAGTTATAATAAAGCTTCTGCATGTTTTGGTTTAATACATTGCGATCTCTGGGGACCATATCGAATTCCCTCGTCTTGTGGTGCTACTTACTTCTTAACAATCGTAGATGACTTCTCTAGAGCGGTATGAATATATTTGCTACTTGAGAAGAGTGAAGTAAAAACAATCTTGCCAAACTTCTGTGCTATGATTCATCGCCAATTTGGAAAATTGGTCAAGGTTATTCGCTCTGACAATGGAACAGAGTTTCTATGTATTACAAAATACTTTAATACGAATGGGATAGTGCATCAGACCTCCTGTGTAGCAACACCGCAGCAGAATGGAAGGGTAGAAAAAAAACATCGGCATATCCTCAATGTCTCGCGGTCGCTGCTGTTTCAAGCTAATCTGACAACCAAGTTCTGGGGGGAGAGTGTGTTAGCTGCTGCACATGTGATCAATCGTACACCATCGAGCATCTTGCAGGGACGAACACCATATGAGTGTCTCTACGGTGAACCCCCAACATACAATTCGCTCAAAACGTTTGGCTGTTTGTGCTTTGCACATCGCTACTCTAAAGACAAAGATAAATTTGGAGAAAGGAGTAGGAAATGTATCTTTATCGGATATCCATACGGGAAAAAGGGCTGGAAACTCTATGATATTGAGCGTGATGAGTTATTCATATCACGTGACGTAGTCTTCGATGAAACTTCCTTCCCATATGCAGATAATCCGGTTGTTACAGACTCTCTGCAAAGTTCCAATCCAATTGCCACTCCTCCAGTAGTTAACTCGTTCGAATTCAAGGGGAGTAATAGTCAGGGTTTATCTCGCAACAGCGGCGCCAGTGGCAACGAAAGTGATGAGATACAAGTTGTTGACGAACATGAGCCTGCAGAACACCAAGAGTGTGATTTTGTTCATCCTGCAGAACAGAATCTTGATGTAAGTACTGCAGAACAAAATTCTGATGACAGAGACGCAGAGGAGATTCACGAGAAATCAGGAGAGTTGGGAAGAGGGCAACGTCAAAAACTTACATCTGTCAAGCTTAAAGACTTTGTCGCTTACAAAATCCCCGATAAACATACTCCCTCCGCTCTCACTGGTGCTCGATCATTGTCCTCCGTAACGGTTCCAGGTAACAAATTGTATCCCATCAAACACTATCTCTTGGATGATATATTCTCTGCCTATCACAGTGTCTTCTTGGCAGCTGTTACGGCTGGAATAGAGCCCAAAAGCTTCCGTGAAGCAATGGAAGATGAACGATGGAGACAAGCAATGGCTACCGAGATTACCTCACTTGAAGTCGCACGTACATGGGATATAGAGGATTTGCCACCGGGAAAGACTGCTCTTGCAAATAAATGGGTCTATAAACTCAAATATAATGCAGATGGGACAGTCGAACGTTATAAAGCAGTCTGGTGGTTTGTGGAAATCGTCAAATAGAAGGGGAAGACTATGATGAAACTTTCGCTCCGGTAGCAAAACTGGATACCGTTCGAACTTTGTTTAAGATTGCCGCAGTCAAAGGATGGGAAGTACATCAAATGGATGTGCACAATGCATTTCTTCATGGTGATTTAGAAGAAGAAGTGTACATGAAGTTACCACCTGGATTTAAGGGTGGCGATTCCTCAAAAGTCTGCAGGTTACGTAAGTCTCTCTATGGCTTAAAGCAGGCTCCAAGATGTTGGTTTTCGAAGTTAAGCCACACCTTGTTGCAGTTTGGATTTGTGCAATCCTACTCTGATTACTCACTCTTCACTTACACAAAAGGAGATGTGAGCTTACGGGTTCTTGTCTATGTAGATGATCTGATTCTATGTTGCAATGATTTAGCGATGTTGGTGAAATTCAAGGCCTATTTAAGCAAGATGAAGGACATTGGTAAAGCTAAATATTTTCTTGGAATTGAAGTCGCAAGAGGGAAAGAAGGGATTTTTCTATCACAACGCAAGTATGCTTTAGATATCATTACAGATTCTGGTTTACTTGGTTGTCAACCTCTGTCTATCCCGGTGGAACAGAATCACAAACTCCTATCGGATAATGGTCCTCTGTATAGTGATCCAGTGAGGTTTCGAAGACTTGTTGGTCGTTTAGTTTATTTGACAATCACGCGACCCGAGTTGTGTTACGCTGTTCATGTTCTTTCTCAGGTAATGCATGAGCCATGCAATGCACATTGGGATGCAGTGGTTCGTGTGGTTCGATATATTAAAGGGACACCGGGCTAGGGTATTCTGTTACGCGCGGACGGACACTTGAGAGTTCAAGCATACAGTGATTCTGATTGGGCTTCATGTCCCCGCACACGGCGTTCATTGTCCGCATATGTTATACATCTTGGTGGTTCCCCTGTCGCGTGGAAGACTAAGAAGCAAGATACCGTGTCGCATTCTTCAGCTGAAGCCGAATACAGAGCTATGGCAGAAACCTTACGAGAGCTTAAGTGGATGAAAAGGTTGCTGGTGGACTTGGGGGTTCCTCAAGCCGGTCCTATGGACATGTTTTGTGATAGTAAGTCGGCAATGCAAATAGCAACAAATCCAGTTTTTCATGAGAGGACGAAGCATATTGAAGCCGACTGCCATAGTGTCCGGAATGCGGTACAGGATTGATTAATAGCTACAAAGTATGTCAGTACCACATAGCAAGTTGCAGATGTGCTCACTAAGGCGTTGGGTCAATCCAGTTTCGATTACTTGTTATCCAAGTTGGGTGTTTGTGCTCTACACACTCCAACTTGAAGGGGAGTGTTAGGAAAGGATAAGTCTTCGTATGTAGTGATAATGATTGATCGATATATTAGATAAGTGTGAGAGTATATTCTGTGTTTATCTCTAGATCTTGTAACGTGTATATAAGGCTTGTGCCTTCATCATAATGCAATATACAGTTTTACCAAGCTCTTACGTTTCCTTACACTCCTCTCCTCTCTAAGTTCTCCCTTATTCTTTCTGAAATCCATTTGCCCCATGTCTTCCGGTGAAATCTCAGCAAATGACTACGATTTTCTCATGCCTTCATCGGAGAGGAGATTGGATTCGACCCCCTCAAAATCAGCGACCCTCTTACCATCGACTCTTTCAGGCAAAGCAACTTAGTTGGCCTCATCTGCATCGATGCTCTGTCTGGTGAAGCCCAGATTCTCTCGCAAGCTGCAAGGCAAATCGATGGCACCTCTGATTCCGCTTCAGTCATGGCTACAATTCTGCGTCATGACAACTGCTCCCTTCCGGCCGCACAGTCTCACGCTAGCGAAAGTGTCCCCATCTCTGTGAAACGGTAATTATTCATATCCAAGAGAAAAGCCACCTTTTGTTCCTGAGACCTCCAATCGAAAAGCTTTACTCCTGCCAATCTCCAAGGGAGCAAGGGAGAAGCCTCTTGCGATTTATTCTGCTCCTCTTCATCATCTTGCAGAAGGTCCTTTGTTGAACTCTGAAAATTCCCAATGGCTTTGGCTCAGAAGTTAACAACCCCTCACTGCTCTGAAGCTGAAGCTGCTTCACTTAAAGCTCACTCCAAAGAGTATCCTTGGGCAGCAAGGATGAACCAATCTCTGAGGAATCTTCATAGAGGTTAGAATACCTTCTCATGTTCTTCTAGGTGGTTTAGAATTTGTGGTAGGTCAATTTTACCTTCTAGAGGGTTTACTCAGTCGATAGTAACTAGGATTTGGGGAAGGAAATACAGAATCTTCATTCGAAAATTAGGAGAGTCAACGTACC